ATGCAGCCTTGTAAGTATAATGTTTCAGAGACAGTATCTGGAATTAAAAACAATTAGAATCCTCAATGAAAATGGCCAAGTGTTTTTAAACCACATATTTTTGTAACTCAGGATTTCTCAATTGAGAGTGGCAGATAAAGCATCATGAACTAGCTAAAGGGAAAAAAAGGGACCATGATATTGACATGAATGAGAAATCAAAAGGTCTACTGAGGTTACCACAGCATTGTTTGGTCCAAGTTTCCTGACACCGTGAACTCTGATATGCTAGTTTCATCTCCATGGAAGGCAGATTTTGTTCTACTCCCCATAAATCTTCCTGCATCGCCTGAGCTGATTTCCGTTCTTTACAGCTATCTGTCTCTGATAAAATGTATTTTAAAACGATACTATTTACAACTATTGTGCTATTTCACATTTTATTTTCATATGAGAGGTTCTTCTCCTACCCTGGATGCCATGGTTACAGGTTGAGCATCTCTAATTTGTAAACCTAAAATCTGAAAATGCCTCAAAACCCAAACTGATTTTTAGCTCTTACATGACATCACAAGTGGCAAATTCCTGCCTAACCTCAGGTGAGTCTCCATCCCAGCCTGGCACTTTACAAATCTGCATAAAATGACCCACAGGCTATTTAAAGGAAATGTATAGGAAACAAATAACTTTCGGGTTCAAATTTGGATCCTATCTTAGGATACCTTACTATGCATATGTAAATATTCTAAAATTTAAAGAAATCTGAAATACGTCAAGTATTTCACAGAATTAATATTCAAAGCCTGCACCGTGTCATACACACCAAAAGGTCCATTACCTAGGTAGGTGAAAAATGTGCTGTTTATTTTCCTGCTGATAACCTAATTTGTGTGTGGACATTATTTCTAGTGACCCAACAACAGATGATGGCTGGTTATCTCTTACTTTATACAAACTGAAATTAATGATTTGTAAACATTTTACACTATTTTTTTCAAAGACTTTTGAGAACACCATTGAAGTTCTTTGCATCCCTGTGGGTGACAGAGAGAGGTGTGAGAAGCGTTTAGCCCTGAGAGTAAGTAACCTCGTCAGTTTGGGAGCCTCAACCCCCTGTCCTCTGCCCACTTTATTGTGGCTCAGCTCATTCTTAAAATTTTCTAAACTTCATTGACCCAAACTTGCAAATAAATAAAAACATAACACACACACACACACACACACACACACACACACACACACACACCTTTGGAAAAAATCGGATGTGGTAGTGTACACCTTTCATCCCAGTGCCTGGGAAGGAGAGGCAGGATGATCCAGCCTGGTCTACATAGTGAGTTCCAGGACTACCAGAGCTACATACCCCGCCCCCCAAAGTCTTTATAACTCAAGGAACTTCTTTACACTTACAATGGACATTTGGAACAGAAGCTGTGATCCTTCACATTAAACTTTGCACATTCAGTTTTGAATATATTGTATGTAATTATCTACCACCAAACCCCAAAAGATTCATGGCACAATTAGAAGTAAAAAAAAAACTGAATGCAGGTAAAGGACACAAGTCTTGAAAAGGGATACAAAGTTCTTCATTTTCATTGTGCCTCAGCTCAAGGGGTACAATTTTCTCCTCCGAAACATTGTCCTATGACCTATAAGAATGTTTATATTTCACACACAATGTTCTATGTCTACCTCAAGTAAATTAATGGAAAGAAAAAGGCACAAATGTAGGCTACTGAGCACAATGACCACAAGGAAATACATTGTAACATACTGTAATGTACAGTTAACAGAATGTTATTTTAGAGGCATCATCTAAGACATTTTCACACAACTAAGCAAATACTTCTCCAGCTTAGTTCAGGAATGAAAGTGGAATCAACTGATGGCTTATTTTAAAATGATTGCATTGTAAATCTTCATTATTGGAAAAGAAGGGACTTGGTTGGAGATTAGGGCAGGAGGATCAGGAGTTCAAAGTCAGCTTTGGCTACATGGCAAGTTAGAGGGCAGCCTGGGTGACATAAGACTCTATCTCAAAACACCAAAGTTAATTAATTTAAAAGCAAAGTAATTTGAAGGACCATTTGAGACAGGATCAGGAGGAGGAGTACACGTGCAGGGTAAAGGGAAAAGAAGATCTTTGCTTGGCAGCACAAACATGGAAGAAAGCTTACGAAACATTTACTGACTCAGTGATTCATAAAATCGAGAGTTTAAGACTTGCAAAGCTCTTGGGAACTGCTGAACATTACAAAGAGATTGTAATAGTAGTTCCAAACGCCTGTTTCAAAATGTCTATAAACCTCTTCTGTGTTGTGAGTTTTTCTATTAGCCTGACTTAGATAAAGGGATAGAATAAGTCCTGTTTTAGTTTAAGACTGATAATTGGCTTGGACTATTATTTCATATATTATTTATGGATTTCGAAGGTCATGAATATCTAAAAAGTTAATTTGGTAAACTGACAATAAATTTTAGCCAGCTGTTAAAAACACTTGAAAACTATTTGGCCTTGAATGTGCAAGCTGATGACTTGTGCCTATTTATGGGATTTTCTTCATCAGTAGAAATGGTTACTATCATAGAATATGAATGAAGTCATTCATAACTGAATACCCAACTCTGAGAGAAGGAGATATAGTCCTATGCTCTCCTGTGCTTTGAAGGTCATAGCAATTCTGGCCCAGGAGCATTTACAGATAGTAAATGAAGAAGTAATATATTATCTTGTTAAGGAAAACTAAAGTTAAGAAATAATGGTTAGTGTTCTTCTAACAGATGGCAACTGAATATTAAAATCTACCATTCTTCTGCTCAACTTTTCCAGGCCATTTGGTTACCTAGATATTGACTGGACAAAAATGATACTGATTTATTATTCTGGGAAAATATGCCAAAAATCAGACAGTACATGGTCTTCTAGCTATTTTATTCCATTTCTCTTGGGGTTTTTTTTTATAATTTTCTTTAAGCAGATATAAAAATTTCAACCATAATGTCTATTCACAATTCCCATTGTCAGGTTAACAAACAGGCTTGACATTTCAACTTTCCATGGGGCTTGGCATAGATTTGAAGGTTCCTTCTGGTCTTCATGGATAGAGCATGTGCTTTTGTCCATGGACAAGCAATATTGAGTGACATCCACATATAGCACTAAGGTCTTTGCCCAGGCGGGGTGATTAATTTCTTAGATACTTTGTGGAGCAATTCAACTACAGGTCAACTATGTCCAGGCTACAGTTATGAATTTGAGTACAGCGTCATTATATGAAGGGGAAAAAATGGCTGAGAACTACAGCTTTTCAAACTTTCAAAATTGAATGCCATTTCAAAAAGTAAAATTGGAGAGCTGGGCATGATGACACACGCCATAAATCCCTTGTCACTTGGGAGACAGAGACAGGGAAAGAGTTGAGGAAGTTCCCAAAGATTGATGAAAACTGCTGACATTTGTCATTTTATGTCCCCAGTCATTATTGTTGTTCCCATCTTAACTGCAGGATAGGTGTCTCTCAAAGTCGGCTTTTCTAGTCCCCAAGGAATGCTGGGAAACCAGTGGGCCCAAAGCTGAGGGCTTCACTGTCTTATCCTTGGGCAGACAACTCTGTGGTGTAAAGACAATTTCTCCCGGGACAGTGCTGGACAGGTGTCGTGCCTCTCCAACTAAGGGGAATACTTGAAAAGCAAAGTTGATTTACAGCACATCTCTGCAAGGGGTCTCCTTCCTGCTAAGCAACACGGGTGTGTTACTCTAAGGAGCTCTTTCCTCACAAAGATTATCTTCCTGTTTTGTGTGTGTTGAGGGAGGGGCAATATATTAACACAAAACCAGCATAGTTAATACATGTGGCATGTTATCATGCCAGAGGGGGATGGGTACTACTGAGAAAAATAAAACAGGGAGGAAAGGTTGTCTGAGGCAGGCAGCATCCGTTGGTCAGCAAAGCCTCTATTTAGGCTTCACTCACATCTGAGCAAAGTCAAGGAGGCAAGGGAGTCGCCCCATCTAGGCACTGGGGAAGAGAATTTCAGGGAAGAACACCCAACGTAAAGGCTTAGGCGGAGGCCAGGCCCCGGTGTTGGTTGAAGAACAGCAAGAAACACAGAAGCAGAGAGTGAGGAGTCAATGAGTGAAGAGGCCAAGAGGAAGATGTCGAGAGGATTTTGCTAGAATGTTCTAATGGTCTGAGAACTACAGGAAGCCATCGAAGCAGAGGAGGAGTCACATGACAACATGTTAAAGGCATTCTTTTTCAGTAGGTCTGGGAGAGGTCCCATTAAAAAGGGCCCAAAAGACAACACTGCTAACAGGTGTCTCAAAGTTTGCACATGCAGCTACTGAAAGGGGAAAAGGTTGGACCCTGGCGGAATGAGGGTTTGGGGGAAGTGATGGTTTTAGAACGCGACTGCTTAAAAATCTCTGGACCTTCTGCTCCGGCCTTAGGTCCCCCTCCGCCGAGGGTCAAGGCCCAGACAGACTGTTTGCCTTGAGACCGCAATCTCTCCACCTGCTAGAGTTGAAGGCACCAGAACCGGCTTCTCTTCCAACAGGAGCGTCAGGTTCAGCTCAGAGCCGACTCATCAGTATTCCGCCCGCGGAGTCTCTCCCCGCCCCCGCCGAGCATCAGGGCTTCTGCCTTCCTCGCTGAGACAGTCCCCTGAGGTCCGCACAACCCCCTCGCCCCCGCCTGCCCATGTCTCCCGGCTCCTCGGTCCACCTCAGCCACCACTGGCTCTTGCCCGGAGCCCATTGCCACCCGCGCGCCTCTGCCAAGCCGCGTAGGCTTTGCCCTAAGGTGGTGGCAGCCATAGTCTGCAGACTGAAGAGGGGGCGCCTTGGGCCCAGCTGACAGGCAGAGTGCTTGGGGAGGGAAACCCACGCTAAGACATCCCTGCAACCGCTCCCTGGAGACATCCAACTTCCCCGCATCGCATCAAACGTCCCCCGAGCCTCCTGCAATGCACCAGATCGCAAGGCAGACGCCAAAGGCACCTGCACTGCGCCCCCACTGGGATGCGCTGTGACCCTAAGAGGGACCGAGTGCTGCAAACCTGGAGGACCCAGGGCGCGGGAAGTCAGGGGTGGGCTGCATAGGACTCACCTTGTGCAGTTTCCACATGGCCCCCAAAGCCTTGACTTCGTGGCTGGAGTGTTTGCCTTCCTCCAGGCACTGGTAGCACACTGGCATCTTGCACTGCACGCAGTACATGCTGTGGTTCTCCAGCTCGTGGTCTGTGCAGGTGGAGACCTTGCGCGGGCTCAGCCGCCGGCTAACGCGGCCCTGGGCCGGGGGCACCAGGCGGTGTTTGGCTAGGGGCCCCCGCGGCGGGTGGCAGCGCAGGCGGCAAGGGTCGCAGTAGAAGACGTCGCACTGTTCGCACATGACGGTGGCTTCCTTGGGCGCCTTCTCGCAGAGCTGGCACTTGAGGGCCGCGGCTTTGCTCTGTTGGTAGCGGTCGATGACCCCTTCCAGGACGCGGTTCTTGGGGAAGCCGCGGAGCCCCCGGTCATCCAAGATGAGGCTGCGGTGGCACTGGGGACAGGTGATGCAGGAGTTGCGGGGCACCGGGGCCAAAGCCGGTGACAGGTGGGTGGGCGGTGGCGGCATAGCAGGGGGGAAAACGCGGACGCCGTTGGGCGACTTCTGGCACGGGGTAGTGGGGGCGCTGGCGAAACCTCCGTAGGAGCCATAGCCGCTGTCCGCCTCGCTGTACAGGCTCATCTTGTCCAGGTCCAGATAGTCATAGTCGGAGACCCCAGAGCCCGAGGCCCGACGGCTCTGGGGGGACTCGGACTCCGGGGTTTGCACCAGGATGTTGCGGGCGCACGCCTGACATAAATTGTGAGAGCAGGGCAGGATGATGGGCTCCCGATAGAAGGAGCCACACACCGGGCATTTTAACTCTTCTTCCATCTCTTCCATGGGGACCTGGCTGGAAGCGAGGCCGCAGCGGCTGCAGCAGAGGGGGGGGGGCTGACCAGGCGAGGCGGCCGACGGGCCTGGGGTGTCCAGCACCTTGGCCAGCGGCGGCGGCGGTGGCGGCGCCTTTCCCGTGTCGCCTAGGCGCCGACTCCCCGCGACGCGCTCTCTTCTGCCAGCCGCTGAGCCTCGGCGCTGCGCGCCAGCCCGGGCCCGCCCCCTCCCGCGGCTAGCCCCGCCCCGCCCCGCCAGGGAGCCGCGGCTCAGCGGCCGGCCGCCGTGAGAGCGGCGTTCTCATTGGTCTCCCGCCCTGTCAGTCTCCGCTCCCTCTGCAGGCCACGGGGGGCTCGGCGGAGTCGGAGCTGGAGCCGCGGCTTCGCCTGCTGGCAGCTGCGGGATCTCGGGAGGGGGTTGGCGCGCGGGCCGAGAGGGAGGAGTGGGGCGGGATGATTCATCCCTCGCCCCGTTTCCTTCCGAGCTCGGTCGGGTGCCGTCACCCCGGAGCAGGGGGCGTGAGAACCCCTCCCAGTCGCAAGTGGGCTGCTGCTGCCTGTCGCCTGCGCGCTTGGCGCTTGCCTTCCAGCTCTGGTCTGTGCGCCGACCACCCCCTCTGCTAGCGCAGCGCAGCGCAGCGCAACGCGGAGGACGCCCCTTCTCCTTCCGCTGCTGGCAGCGAGCAGGCACCTCCCCCGGGCCTTCCTGGAGGCATTTGGGCTTTTCTCCAGCTCCCAGAAGCAGCTGGAGCGCCCGTGTCCCTGGAGTCTGAGGGAGCTGGCTGCGTGCCATGGCTACAGTACCCCCTTCCTGCGCCCCCGGTAGCTCTCCCCCCCCCCCCCTCTCCCGGTGAGGCAAAGGCTCAGCATTCCTCCAAAGCTGTGCCACCATCGCTGCATGCTTAAAATGTGCGGAGGCCCCTACGCCTTGGAGTAAAGGTACCTCGGTCCCTCTCCCCGTCCCAGCCTCCCAAAGCTCATCCATTAGCATCTGGCTGGGTTTTGCAAGGGGCCCCAGGAATGTTAGCTGTGCTGAGGCAGGGATGGTTTGTGTATTTCTGAGCGTCTATCATTTGGTAGCTAGCTGTGCGAACGAATCAGTGTGAGACTGCAGATTCTCAATGTTTGATTCCAAACAACATTATCCAATGTCACATGCCCTGAGCACCTACCATAAATTCCAGAAAGGGGGGTAGTGGTATCTTTTTTCCCTTTCTGTGAGGTGATAAAGGATTTGATGATAGCCCTTATATACTAGCAGATTTCTCTTTTTCCCCCAAACCTTGCTGGAGATAATGGGTCCTACCCCTGGCCTTCATAACCCTTTAAATGACAATGACGATAGAATCTTTGAATCGAGATATAAGTCTGTTAATCAATGGTAGATTCTTAGAATCCAGTGACATTCCAAGGAAGTAATTTATCTTGGGAGCATACATAGTTGATTTTTCTGAGTGATTCATGAAGCAAATGACAAAAAATTCTTTTCAAGTTCCGTGCAATCTTCCAAATTTTCAACTTCCGGAAAATAACTTGATTATTCATAGCTACATTTATAATTTGAAAGTACTTTTTGCCTAGGGAAAAGAAGTAACCTCTATAATCTTACCCTTGGGGTAATAGTACAAATAAACTGGATTATCTTGTAAATATGTTTTTTAGTACAGTGTCAACAGTACTAAACCAGGGTTCATTGGTTGTGTGGGAAGAAAATTCACATTGTTACTTGAAACTACAGGGTTTATTTCTAACCCAGATTTTAATTAGTGAAGACCAGAGCTGCTAAGGGTATATGCAGTCTGTTTACAGGCATAGAATTTCTTTAAGTGTGATTGGGGCATTATCTATATTTTACAGGATACATACACTCTATTAGTCCAAAGATACTTTGCTCATATCAAGTAGTTAGTTCTTAGGAAACTGGTAGAAAGGAGCATCCGTGCCCTTGTAAATGATAGTCCTTTCATGGATTTTGCATTCCCCTGCACAAGTCACAGAAACCTTGACTAGCAAAATGAGGAACTGTCATTCTTCCTGAGTCTGGACTTTGCTTACCCCAGTATACCATGTAAGAAGTCTGGTGATTAGCAGACAGGTTGTTCTTGGTTCACAGGAAAGGGAGGTCTGAGGAAAGGAATGTCCAATGGTATGCATGATTCAGTGTCAGGTACAAGTAGCCCCAATACAATGAGGATTTATAGCACAGCCAATGCATAGTGGATCTGTTAGGAAATAGCTTGAGATAAATTAACTGTTAGATCTGTTTGGTCAGGAACTAGCTCATCTCAGTCATTCCTGGAGAGCTCTCAGAATGACTGCCTTTTTTTTGAGAAGTCCCCTCTTTCCTGCACCATGACTAGATTCAATCCCTGTAATAAGAACACCTAGGCACAGTAATCCCCATTTTTCAGATTAGTGAACTGAAGCTAAGAAAACATACCAGAGAAACCTTTCAAGATCTAATACCGATGAGGCTAGGGTTTGAAGCCAAGGGTAGGAAAGGGTGTAGTTCCTTTTGTTCATTCACCAAAAAAAAATACTGAGTTGTATTCTGTCAGATTCTGTGTGTAACAAAACCCAAAATGGTCATTGTTAAACTTTTGCTATCCTTGCCTTCTCTGTGAGTTTACCGTTTTTCTTGAATTCCTTTCTCTATTTTTGTAGGCCTTTGAAGATGTTCCCTCATATTGTACTACTTGACCACAATGGACTTTAAAGCCCACCCCCAGTTCTCTTGAAAGGGGAATAAAAGAAAAAAATCTGAATGCAACTGATGACTGTAGAAATGCCAGCCAACCAGGAGACGAACTTTTCTGTCCCAGCTGGTGATCCACCAAGGCCTGGGGTGTGGGGTTGCTGGTCCTGTAGTTTCATCATCTCTGGGGGAGTGACTGCAGATGTTCCCATTTGTGTAAAGTGCCGGATATGATCCCATGAAACTTCTATTCACCCCAATAATGGTCTTTAGCAATGAGTTGCACAAATTAAAAGTGCACTGGCAGCTTTTCCACTTTTTAAGAAAAGATGAATGTTTTCTAATGAAAAATAGAGTTGCTTTTGTATTTTTGTTTAACTAGAATGCTTGATGACTAATTGAGTATTCTCTTTGAGTCTAAAGGAAGAACACAGTGAAGAAAGGATTTCCTGATATCTCTTCACATTCTCTTCTTGAGATGCATGGGTGTCGGGGGATCAATGCAAGGAGTTGACCACAGTTTTGCTACTTAAGATTCACGCATGCAAAAGCATTTAGTGCTAATTGAGTACTTATGGGTGTTTGCACTATGCTTCTTTTTCCAAAGGAAATTTCTTTGTATGGTGTAATTCATCCCATTAACACTTAATTTGTACTTGTAATATTTTAGACCACCCTCAAAGAGCTTCCATGTTTATTTGTTGTTGGTATTTTTTTTGTATTTTTAGTAACATGGTAAGTAGGGTGAATTAAAAGCCCCCACCATTTGATGGTAGTAAAAGATGACCTTATGCAAAGTTTGTGATATTCCTATGGTAATAGTTTACTAATGCTTTGGGAAGAGTAGACCAAAGAATCTGAGCAAATAGAGCCTTCCCGAATTAAGTCAGGAGATCCAACATGTAACAGGAGTCCCAGAATGATGGGGAAAAGGAATGATCAAGGAAAAAAACACCATTGAAAAAAAATAATTCCCTTGATCTACAGAAAGATCTGAGATTACAGATAGAATGGATATTTGATTTATACATGACAAGACCCAACCATATACGGATAGAATTCCTAAAGTCCAGAGGAAAAAGGAGAACATGTTACAAACTCCTTAAACAAAAATAAAAACTAATTAATAATAAAGCAAAAGGAATTGAACTGTAACCAGATGTGATGGGCTTGAGCCTCACTGAGTGCAAAGCCCAAAGCAAGTATGATCAGAGAGCGGAAGAGATGCATTGCCTGAGCAGGTAAGGAAAGTAGGGGGTCATTTCCAAGGCAAAGCCTCACCGAAAGGAAGTGTGGAAATTTTATTTGGGGAGATACATATTTATATTGGAAAGCACTTCAGGAGCAGGCACCTTCCTGGACATGCTCAGTTAATGTGCTCCTGAATGTGCTCAATTTAAGGTCGTAGTACAAGGATGATGGTGAGCACATTTGAGGGCATACTTAGGTTAAGGTCATGGAGCACATGTTTAAAAGTTTAAAATGACATACAGGAAAACTTGACCATACTTGCACCGTAAAGATCCATAAAGATGTTGGGTAATTTCTGACATTCTTCCAGAAGTTTGTTTGTTTGTTTGTTTTATGATCGATTCTCTCTCTCTCTCTCTCTCTCTCTCTCTCTCTCTCTCTCTCTCTCTCTCTCTCTCTCTCCACACATGCGCCCATGTAGGACAGAAGGGAGGTGTTGAATTCCTTGAAACTGAAATTACAGGAGTTTGTGAGCTGCCTGACGGGGAGTTCTGGGATCTAAACTCTGTTACTCCAATAGGAATATAATTGCTCTTGCCTGCTGAGCCCTTGCTCCAGCACCTAAACTGTCAACTGAAACAAAATGAAACGATACTTTGAAAACGCTGTAGTATGGATAGTCCGCATAAAAATCCCTGCCTCACTCAGCAGCTAACAAAATTGGCACTGGACTTTTTTTTGATACACCCTTAAAGGCAAAAAGAATGTGAAATGAATCACATAGTCTCCCATTTCATGCTGCTGTGCCAGGGACAACACAGAAGAGCTAAGTTACGATAAAGAGAAGTGAATTGGCTCCCGTTCTGAAAGCAGAGGGCCTTCCTGTCACAGCATCTGGTGTGAGCCTTCTTGCTGTGCATCCCATGAGGAAGGACCAAAAAGAGGGCAGGAGGGAGGCAAGACAGGGCTGACGAGGCTTGTACCTTCAATATGGAATCTGCTCCTGCCACGTGGAAATCTCCCCACACAGTGGTGTCCCCAAACCCCCAACACCTCCTAATGGCTCCACCTCCCAGCATCTCCTTATTAAGGATCAAGTTTTCTCAGGAAAGGAATTTTGAGAGACACTGTCAAATCATAATACATGCTAAGCATTTTTGAGACTAGGAGGCCAAAGAAAGGAATTTGTAAGATTTCAGGGAACATAGCAATCATGAATCTCACAAAAAGAAAAATGCTTGAAATAAGACTTTAAATCGCATGAAAGTTGGTTTTAATTTTTTTTTTTTTTT